TTTAATTCACAATTTGAATTTCTCAAATATATATACAGTGTGTGCGTCATCAACTATGACAGTAAAGTTTTAAAATAAAAGCTTTTTATTATTTTTACATTCTTTCTATTCATCAAATAATCCTGAAAAAATGACTCACAGTGTTGTATCACAAAATGTTTCCGAAAGAATATTAAGCAAAATAAAATAGAAACCACTTTTTGATTAATTACATAATACTACTATTTTTTATGCAATTTTGATAAATGAAATATATCCTTACCCACCTCAAAATGTTGACCTGTAGAGTATAAATGTGTGTGTGCAAATGTAATTAATCACATAAATGAATGTGTTATTTTTGACAGCCTTAATATATATATATATATATATATATGTGTGTGCGTGAGATCTCTTCAGTTAAAGTGACAAGACGTGAAGGCCAAGTACGGCAATCCATACTCGGAATTTGTCCTCTGCATTAACCCATCCAAGTTAGTGCACAAACATTACACACACTGAACACACACACACTGTGTAAACCATGGTCACACACACCCAGAGCAGTGGGCAGCCATTTCTGTGGCACTCGGGAAGCGATTGGGGGTTAGATGCCTTGCTCACTGGCACGGGACACATCAGAGATATTGAGAATCTAACCTTCGGGTTATCAGTATGACTCTCTAACCATTAGGCCACGACTGCCCTAAATTTAGCTTCTAATGTTTACTAGTGAAAACAATAACAAAAATACACATCTTAAATCATGGCGCTCATACACTAGAAAAGATGCTGAAGAAAAAAGTAGCGAGATGCATGGACAAAGATGCCCATCTAAGTGTGCGTTTATATTAGGGATGTTAATGATTAATTGACGGTCAATTAAATTTGAAGATGAGATATTTAATCGATAAAACCGTTTTTTTAAATTAAATAAAGTGTTAGCAAAGTGCTACTGGTGTTCATTCAGCGTATTCACTAATTATTCACTAATAATAAGACTGTCATATTACATAACATGAGAGAACACTACTTTATTAAATCGTTGTGAATTCATTGGGTTTAGTTGCTGTTTTCAGCGAGTTGTTCTATGAAGCATTCTTAAGGCTAACGATTAATCGATTAATTGATCATTTATTTAAACGATGATCGATCATGGGAATTTGTGAAAATTGACATCCCTAGTTTATGTAAATACATTAAAAGTATAGAATATTATCAAAGCCAAAACTAGCCATTTAATGCGGTCTGGAATTAAACACGTTTTCTCGTTAGGCATGTTCAAACATCCTAGTAATGCTAAATGTTTATTTTGGTAGTCGAGTTACTCTATCTAAAACCAACCAAGCCTGAGGATTAAGAACAATTTGGGCGTCAACCAGAGACGACTGCAACAATCAAAACATTGAACAGAGGTTGCCTATGCTAGTACACTACACAATAAAACAATAGAAAATAACCAAAACAAACCAGCTGCGTTACCTGCAACAGCATGTCACTAATTTGAATTTTTTTTACTTTTTATGGTCAATCCTGCAGAATGTTGTGATCAATATTAATTCTGAAATATCTCAAGGACAGAAGCTTTATTTCCAGCTGAGTCCTGATTCTAACCTGATCTACACAAACATGACTCAGCTGGTCTAAAACTCTCCAAAATATTTTTTGCAGATGAACAAGTACAAAGATAAAAGGCAGAGAACATCCACTTCAATCTTTTCAGATTGAGAGATGTGAAATTACATACGTGTCCTCAGGCCTCTGAATTCTCCCCGAGATTGCGCAGATAATTTTTATCACAAAGTTTTTAAATGGGAACTTGTCCCATTTAATTGGATTATGCTAAAAACGTAGCAAGTGGGCACTCTGGATAAAATTGCTACGTCGAGCAGTAGACTACTTTGGAACAAAATCAGAAAAAAAAAACACAATTCAAATTAAAATACCCATTTCATTTTTAAAACAAACATAGACACAAATCCACAGCCTAATCACTGGGAAGCACATTGAACAGATTATTCCATGATCTGCCCATTGTGATGCAGGGAAGAGAAAATGAAAAATGTTGAATGACATTCCATCGCCACAATATTGGCCCTCTTCACCCCTCAGATGCAATGTTAAATTTCTCATGAATACCAAGCAGTAACGATCTGATTAATGAGTGAACGCTGTGTAATAGTGTCAGTCACCGCAGCTAATCAAGAAGAATGCCACATGATTAACCCTTATTGAGAACTGTTCCTCAGGCAAAACACAGGAAAAATTAAAGTCATACATCTTCAGAATTCCCTAAAGCAAGATTATTCCATTCGTCTCCTCAGTCTACCGAGCTAACTTCCCCCAACTGAAACCAAACCAGCACACTCTACTTGCAAAACACGTTTGAGGTTGCACAAGCCAACCTTTTGGACAATATACACTTTTAAAAACAAATGTTACAAATGGGAGTTTTCCCAGCATTGGGATAGAAGAACCATTTTTGGTTCCGAAAAGATGAGAAACTCCCGCAAACTGACTTTGCAGATTGTCGACCAATCTTTTTTTGGTCGTTTTTCCTATGCACCTATTATCTGCAGGTGTGTGATGTTTTTTATTGATTGGTTATCCAAACTACGTTCACACTGCAAGCTAAAACGGCCCAATTCCGCTATGCGAGCTGTATCTTTTCTTTTCATGACAGTCTGAACGACACAAGTCCAATCTTTTTAAATGCGAACCAGGCCACTTGGGTATGTGGTCCAATTCCGATATGTAAGGCCACCCTTAAAAATATTCTTGTTTGCCGTAACCCGACCGACCCTGTCAATTTAGGGCCGACCCAATTTTTTCTTTTTTTTCCTTTTAGTCCGACCGACTTGCCGGTTGTAACCTGCGTTCAGACCGACCGATTTTTTTTTTTTTACTCTTCAAACGACTAATTCAAATTCAATAAAATATTAATTATATTTTAGTTAGTATTGTGAAAGTTGCTTGTGTCTACATAGCCTACAAACGTAGGCTACGTTCTTTCTTAAATAAAAACCCGTGGCGTCATAGTCATCAGATTATGTTTACACCATTGGTTTAACGTTAAGCGTGTCACTATATGGCTTGTTCGCTTGTTTCAGTGTTCCTGCTGGTACCCGGTATTAAAAGGGCAACGGAGCTGAATATCAACTATTTCTATATATAATAAAAATATTAAACAATTTGTCTGTGATGCAATTTTGCTATTCGCAGTCCAGAAGATCTCTCACTCGGAGCCACAGCGCGCACAGCACGACAGCCCTGCTTAATGAGTGACAAACAATGAGGACAAAACGTGGTTACACTTTAGATCTGGGATATTATTCTAATTGTATTTTAGATTTCCGCTTTCAAAGATTATAAAAAGAAGATATTTGAGATGAAACCATTACAGACGCATTCTGTCTAACTTAGCGCAACTTCCTTCCCTTCACAGCGTTGCGCTGTAAAACCCAAACGTACCGTCAGAATCAGCACGATCGGTGATTGTTGTAAAATGCAGTCTGTACTGTTGCTAAACTGCGGACGCGTTCAATCATTAAAAGAGCTATTAAAAGCACAAAAGTCTGCGCAAGAGACTTTGCTCACGACGCGCGCTCCGAAATGCACTAAAACGAGACAAGAAAAGTAGGCTATCGCCTCATTTTGGGCTTCATGTGCGCATCTAAACCATCAAATATACATAAAATATAAAATGACCTGCTCTGAGATTCATTTAAACACAGTTTATGTCTTAATTAGACGTAAATAGTTGGGAGAAAATGATGGTGCATCAGACAGTCATCTATTACAGTAGAGTTCTGCATTCGGTCTTAAAGGGGCAGTAGTCTAATAAACGTGACGATTGAGCCAATGCGAATCAAACAACAAAAGGCAGATAAAAGTCAATCACAGATCTTGAATGAATAACTTAAACTTTAATAAGCATTAATCTAACTATGATAAACTATGCAGTGTCATTTTACATTTGATTACTAGCTAAATTAAATTTCTTTTCAGAGAGAGCGACAGACTTAACTGAAAAGTAGCTATTTTAGACCTTCCTGAAATTAAAGCACTGTGTATATAGGCTAATTTGTATCTTTGTTTAATTGTATTCTTTGTTTGACCATGTGTTTGTACTTGTTTTTGCTTATGTCATGTATATATGCATATAGATAGATATTTTATACATTTTGTGGCTAGCCTAAAATGTAACTGGTCGTATTTTGCATTAACACCTAGCGGTGGATGCACAGTTTGAAGACCCAGTCAGTGACGTCACAATATGCATTTTTTTTTTTTAATTCACGATCACCATCTCCAAAATTGTACCTTTTTTTTTTATACTGAATCTTGGGAAAAAAAATATAGACCTACCTACCGACCCTTTTTAAAAAAAAAATTGCTGTTACTGCAAACCAAAATATTTTTAAAGATGGCCTAAACGATCTTTTGAAATGCGACTTCAATCTGAACGGCCAGGTCACATGTATCCGACCCGCACGTCATTGATATGCGATAAACTTCATAATTCTGCGTTGAAGTAGGCGGGAATGAGAAGATTGTAATTGTGCTGGCTCGGTTGGGATCATAACTTTAATATTGCTAAACAAGCTCCACTGTTGACATCCATGTTTAGCTACTTCGGGAAAAAAGTGACGGCGTTGACCGTTGAGTACTCTTTTGCGCATGCAGGTCCGTTTGGGGTCATTTCATATTCAAATTCGCGTTCACACAGAAGATCACAAAAGGTCGCATTTAATTGGAAATGTGATCGGCCTTGCAAAAAAATCTTGTTTTTTTTTTTTTTTCAAAAAATCGGAATTGAGCATTAAGCGCATTGTGTTCAGTGTGAACGCATTTTTATTTCTTAGTGCGAAGAACATTTTAAAAATCGAAAAAACCTTTAGTAAAATAGAAAGGTTCCTTGGATGTTAAAGGTTCTTCATGGAACCATAGATGCCAAATACTTTTATTTTTTAACAGTGTACCATCACCTTAGTCGAACAGACACAAGAAGAGGTACTTACCAATGCATACGTCAATTTTGCCCTTAATGGCAGCTTCATGGAGCGGAGTGTAATTCCAGTTGTCTCTGGAGTTGGAATCGGCTCCCTGACAGAGCAGCAAGCTGACCACTTCAGCGTGACCGAAGGAACAGGCGTTGTGCAGCGGGATCAATCCTCCGTCGTCTCGCGCGTGTACGTTTGCCCCCGCCTGCAGGAGATGCTCCACAACATCTTTCCTTCCAAAACCTGAGACAAAAATATCGGTTAATCAAGCTCTTATCTCTACAAGGTATCATCAGTCATGCCGACCAAGAAAAGCCAGTTTCAACAGAAACAAAACAACAACTTTATTTTGGTTTGCCATGTTAAAACTTACTACAGGATAGAAATATACCGGTTTCTTGCAATAGACCATTATGATCATTTTAAGTAAACACATGCAACATAAGCACTTTAAAGCGGCAGATTCCATTAATAATATGCCTGTGCTCACAAGATATTCATTTGTGCACATATAGAGAACACACATTTTTGAAATAACACTTTTTAAGTCCTGGTGTAACTGAATCACCCCATGCAATAGCTTAACAATAGCAGTTTTCTTGTCAGTGTGGACATATTTCCTAATGCAACAGGAAGTTGTGGCGGGACATATCAAATGGCTCTTCTGTTTGTATTTAAATAGACTCTAAACAGGCACACAAGAAGTAAAATCCACAAAACCCCTATTGTGATTTCATGGGGTCTTAAACTTAATCACATGGGAATCACATCTATTCAGTTTGGACATCCAGCCATTTGTGATTACTGTATAAAGAAGGATTATTAAAAAAAAACATTCTGCAGAGTTTTAAGCTGAGCATGAAATAAATATATATAATGTTCATACGTTTTATAAACATTGTTTTAAAATTCACTTAAATGTCCAGGTTTATATTTCCAACACTGAATAATGGTATAATAACGTAGCAATTAGATTCATATAGGGCTAAATTGCTAATATATATTTCCCATTAAAAAAATACAACAACAATAACGTTTCTTCGGCAACAATATATTTACGTTAAAAAAGGGACTTGGCAGCTCTGGAATTTTTAAAGTAATATGCGAGGGTCCGATTTCACTTTGTCGTGTTGTGTGTGAATCAAAGTAAACACTTATTTTGGACATGGGAGTACATATTGTAACTTTATTATTTATATTATTACTTTTAAAGCTTATTTGCCGGTGTATTACGCTGTCTCCAGTTTGTATGTTGAACTTTATTCACTTTCTGGCAGCTCATCACACGAAAACAAACAGGAGCGGACAAAGATAGCCTAGCTCCCAGAATGGTTAACTTTCTACTAGATCGTTACATAATTGCCCTGTTGGCCAAACTTCCCCTTATCCCCCTTGTCCCCGTTTCCTTAAGTTACTGTTTATTTAGCTACCTAAACCTTCCACCTGGCAGCTTTCTAGGTCGGGATTGATCGCAAACATTATGTATTTGTATTTACCTGCAGCGAAGTGAAGTGGGGTGGACTTGCGCCCAGCCATGTCCTTAGCGTTTACATTGACCGAATCAACCAGTTTCTTCACCCGGGACACGTCCCCATTCCTGCAGGCCTCAAACAGCTCCCTGAAAGCCCCACTCGTCCCACAACCACTGCCTCCAGGACTGGTACTACCGGAGTCGGGAGTGGAGCCCGCACTACTGCCCCCGCCGGTGGTAGACGAGCTAGTGCTGCTCGAGCCGGAGCTGCTGCTGCTAGTGCTGAGGAGCGGAGCGGGAATATCTGCAGTGATCTCCGGTTCCCTGATGCTCTCCGGCTCCCCACCAACTGCAAGGCAGCCGGTGTCGGTGGGTGATTGCAGAGGCGTGAGGGGACTGGAGTCGGGTCTTGGTGGGGAGGATAAGTTTTGTTGTTGTTGCTGCTGGGTAGTGCGACGAGACGTCGCCATTTTTGCACACAGATCCCCTCTGGCAGCGAAAACAGTTGGGGAGAACTTCCGGGAAGTGCGAGAACAAAACTTCCGCTTTCAAATGATGAAAAAAGTATGAATTAATATTTTGAGCTCTGTGAATTATTACCACAAAAAACACAAACCACAAAAATATAAACAAATAAAGATTCAGACAGAAATATATTCTGCAGAATAAAATGAAAAGATATAATAAAGCTCTGCAAAGTGGAATGAAAATAGACTGTTAGGCTATGTAAGGAAATAAAAACAAACAATATAAAGAATGTTCTCACCCTCATGTCATTCCAAACCTACGGAACACAATTGAAGATCGTTTGTTGATCTGAGAGCTTTCTGTCCCTCCATTGACAGCTAACGTTACACAAAAAGTTAATAAATAGATCATAAAACTAATTCACGTGAACAGAGCGGGTTTGTCCAAATTGAGATTTGATCGCTTTATATGACCTGGGGCCCGTTTCAATAAGGAGGTTCAACCAACTCTGAGTTAAAGCTTGAACTCAGAGTTGACTTAGCCTGGCTGCGCCCTCCTACGCACTTCCGCTCAATTTCAGTGGAAATGAAATGAACTAGAGTCTGGTTGAACCAGGCTAGAGTTGACTTACCCTGAGATGGGAAACTCCGAGTTTTCGGTTACAGAACAGCTGAAATGAGTTAGTTCAATCAACTCTGAGTTGACTGACTCTGAGTTAAGCGCGTGCACCACAGCTATAAAAAGCCATTATCAATGGAGCGCAGATATTACGAGTCACCATGGCAACAGCGCCAGACAAAAAGAGGTGTTGGGTATAATTAATTACCAAGTAATCTAAATATTGTAATTTAATTGAAGGGATTACTCTTAATTCTTCTTTAATTTAAAATAAAATATGATGCAATTACATTAAATAGGCTACTGCATAAACTATAGACCAATTCAGTATAAAACAATAGTGGATTTAGCATACATTTTTAAAAGGTATATTTTTATATAACCTTCTCCCTCTACACACTTTGATCAATTCAAGAATAATTCATGCAATTGTATATTGTTAATTTGAAAGCATTAAAAGTGCAGTTTCTTGTCTCTCCTCCTTGTATTAATCAAGTGGTTGAGGTTGATATAGGATTTAGTAATATGTAGACTTTCTAGAGATAGTAATTATTAGGCTACATTAATCTAACTACACCGTTGAAGATGTCATTTGTTGTTAATAATTCATAACTATTTTAGAGTAACTGTTATAATATCAGAGGTGAAACTGGAAGAATGTTATTCAACCTAAAGTAGTCTACTATTACTTTGATACATTTTTACTTAAGTAAAAGTAAAAATACCAGTCTAAAAAATCTACTCAAGTAAAAAGTAGTTAATTTAAAACATGAGTAAAAGTTGCTGAGTAACTTGTTTAAAGTCCCCGTGAACCGGAAGTTGCAAACGATCTTTCTCCAGTGCTGTGTGACGTATTTCCAAGTGAAACGGAATATTGAACAGAGGGCAGGGTTTTACTCTAGCGCTCCTCCTCTCCATCTCTCGCTCATAGCAAACTAACGGTTTGAGGGGAGTGGTTAAGCGTTTCCCCACCCAAACTGTGAAACCTACGTCATCAGAAAAAGAAACCGTTCCAGACCGGAAGTAACTTTTCAGATTTTGATTAAAGATTACTAAGGTAAAACATTTTTTTAATATATATTCACTTGCACGGATTAATTGTTCACCACAAGACTAGTAATATGCGCTAACAAAGTAAATAGGTTCAATTTTGATTTCACGGGGACTTTAACAGCGGGGGTGGGGTGGGGGACTCCCCCATGTGGGGTTGTAACGTATGAGAGTTTCAGAGTATGAGAACCGTCTCAGAAAATATCACGGTTTATGGTATTAAACAATTGTTAAATATATAAACTGCATTATTAAATTACGGTTATTATTTTCATCAGTTAAAATGACAGTTAAATAAATTAAACATTTGTTCAATAAAACATAATATCAACTAACTTCAATAATTGATTATGATTATGATTGACATCTTATTTTTTATCATGAATAACTTATTAAATTTTATTACAATTTTTTCAATGATTTAATAGAAATATATTATCCAAAACAGTGGTAATCAAATAAAAGTTTAGCAAATGTTTTAATCCTTTTATTTTTTGTCAAAGTGCTGCAAAACAGATTTAGTCAATTAAACCATGGACAAACAATATATATATATTTCTTAAAGAATGTGTAAATACATTTTAGTATTATTGTTGGTGTTTAAACAGCACTTCCTCTTTAAAAAGGGGGAGGAGACCGCAAGAAACTCTGGGTTTACCGAAGAAAACCTGCTCCCGACCAGGTTAGGTTCACAGAGTAAGTTACCATGGTAACTGACTCTGAGTATAAGTTACCTCTCTTTCAGAAACGGGCTTGACTTACTCTGCTTTCTCGGGTTTGATATACCCCCCTTTCTGAAACGGAAAACCCAGAGTTTCCCTCATTTCAGGGTTAACATACTCAGAGTTTTCACTTAACCTCCTTTCTGAAACAGGCCCCAGATTTAATTTAGGCTTTTGTTCACATATAAACATTGATCAGCGAACATAAACAGAAGCTCCGAACCTGCTTGAAGCATGAGAATAAACCTCTTGCTGAAGCTCAAACCTGCACAACACGAGAACAAACCTCACTGTTTATTATATTTTTTAGCTTCATTGCAAGTGTATGACATTTGGTATAGAAAAAAAATGGTAAGTGCTTTTCCTAAAAATGAGAAAGAATATAGGTTATTAAAACATTATGAAATACAAATAAAGTTAGTGTGTGCGGCTAAACAGAATGTGTTTAGGCTGAATTAGGTAAGATGTGTGCTTTCAGTTTCCACAAATCCCTTCACTTGATTGGGATATTCTCTTGTGTTCTGGGCGGCAGTTACTGTAATATCGGGTAGGCTATATTTTGTAATATTAAACACATATTTATACCGACTTCATCAGGCTCCGAAAATTCTTCACAAAGAACACAGCTGTGTTCTCTATAGAGAATGGACTTATCGGGCTAGTTGCAACTCTTGCGTCATCAGAACGGGGTGTTCAACACATCACCGTTTCTGTTTAAAAGCCGTTGTGCAACGTTTTCTCCGGGCTGAACGCAGCCCAGATGTGTGAGTTATGAATGTTTATATGTGAATAAAAGCCTAAATTCTATCTGTTCATCATAAGCGATCATGTCTCTTCAGAAAATGTGGACTAAACTGCTCAATTCATATGGATTAGTTTTATGATCTCTTTACTAACTTTTTGAAACGTCAAAGTGGTAGTTGTGTAGGCTACCATAGGGTGACCAACTGTCCTGTTTTCCCAGGACATGTCCTGTTTTCATATAACAATATAACAATTTTCTATCCATACAGAGGAGGCATATCCATGTATTGAAATTAATAAGGTATCTTTGAGTAAACTTCGAGTATCATTTGAGTTGGCCCATGTGTTTGCTGGGCCGAGTGTCCTGGTTTTAGGTAATCAAAATATGGTCACCCTAGTGTACCAGTCAATGGAGGGACAGAAATCGCTCTGATTTCATTAAAAATATATTAATTTGTGTTCTGAAGGTGAACGAAAGTGGGTTTGGAGCGATTCATTTGGAATATTATTGAAGCTGGTTTCCCAGTGCCCAACCAGTTAAAAAGTGCATATACCACTCCAAAGCCAGTTGTCTAATGAGACCGAGCAATTGTCTTAACATTGTCTTAAAAAAGTGGATGTTGAAGGACAAGCACATGACCTACTTTGTCTTTTAACAGGTCAACATACTTTTGTTTACATTATCAAGTCCAAAACCAAGGCTCAAAGTCGGTTTTGGATGTATAAGCATCTGTTTACAAATCCTTGTTATTCATTTCTTTGACCCTTATTGGGCAACTCAACCATCACTGATCCAATATTGACAAAACAGCATATTACCCATTCTGTAACTGTCTGTTTTAACTGGCTAGTGAAAGTGGTTACCTCACTGTTGCACCCTGGGATGATGAGAGTTAATTTTCTCAGCTGTTTGGAAATATTTAGTTGCCCAAGCTGAAACACTATAGCCCGGGATGAACATTTGCAGTTTCTGTGCATAAGTAGGCCTTTCTAAGGTTCTGCTTGTTTAATGTGTGTTACATTACAATGTTTACATGAAAATTCATGGCGCTCTTATCACAGACAGTTCAACATTACTGTTTATAAAGCTATTTGATTTTCTCCTCATGTTCAAGAGAGTCCAAAATATTGTCAAAATAGCACAGACTGGTCCAAAAGACCAAATTGAAGATATAAGATTGTAAATCTAATTTAAAACTTCAAATAAACAGAAAGTTTAGGGTTTTGAAAAATAATAAATAAACATACAACACACATTCACACTATAGAACATATACACTCAAAAAAATTATATGTTGGCTTTAATTAAATTTTTTTTGTCAACAGGTTCCACATAACTGCATTACGTTAAACAAACATAATTTGTTCATGTAACTTCAACATAATGGAATTAAGTAATTTTAAATTACCCAATTTAAGTAGTCTCAACGTGAATTTTTAAAGGCTTCCTGACATGATTCAAAGGCATTTTATTATAATCATTCATCCATTTATATATTTCATTTGTTTCAGTAACATTTAATTAAATTGCTAAACTTTAGCTAGCTATTTGCTAGCAGTAGCACATATTAGCATCTTGAATGCTAAGATTCACATGCTCCTTCATTCAAAGCAATAAAAAAATTATGACATCAGTCAACAGTCAAACCCACTGTAATTTAAATGGTTTAATAATTCCAATGTAATTTAACATTAAACACTATTACACACTATCAAGTCTTTGCCTCCCCCCCCCCCCCCCCCCCATAAAATAAACACTTAATTTTAACATTTATTCTCTCTTAATTCAACCATGCAAAGCATGCTGGGAACTAAAAGCACCGCCCAGTTTCAGTTAATGCGACACAAATCAATCATGTAATCCAACACAAATAGATTAAGTAAACTTAAGTTGTTCGTAGATTTAAGCAGATTGAACACAATTAAATTAAGTTCAGGCAAAATGGCAGTTGTCTCGCACTATACTCCCACCCTATGGATGTACACATTTTTTTTTACTTAACATAAATGGTTTGTGTTTAGACAACACATTAGGATTTTGTACTGTTAAGTTGAGACACAATTACATAGACCTTAATAGAAAAAAAAAACATTTAAAGTCAAAAAACACAATTATAAGTAAACTATATATAAATATATTAAGTAAAGTGCACAACCTTCCTAGTTCATTTTTTGAGTGTACTTTTTAAATTGTTGTGGAGTAATTCAAAATGTGATATTCAGACAACAGATTCTTTTTTTAAGTTAAAATGTTCCTTAATTTGTTATGCTGATAACATGAAAATGCATTAAATTGATTTAAAATATTTTAAATATAAATGCCTTCTGTGCACTGGAAGTTCAACAACTG